GTGGCAGCGTCGACTCTGTCGTTCGATCTCGTTCGCGGCTCCAGTTGTGACGTCACGTGGCTGCCCAAGGGTCGATCCTTTGATCACGGCACCAGTTGTGACGTGACTTGGCTGCCCAAGGGTCTGATATCCTGGTCACGGACAGCACCAGTTGTGACGTTTTTGCCGCGGCGTCAGCTGTTCGCTCCTCGCTGCTCCAAGTGTGACGTTCCAACACTTTGGTTAGATGATTACCAGCCTCGCCGTTCCCAACTCGCTTCCAACACCTGGTTACTAGGGTAACTGCACTGATCTCCGGTCTGCCTACCCACGTTGTGATTAGATCTTAGACAGACGGGATCAAACAGGGATTGGGGCCGTATGCAAGCTGAGTTCGACAGGGTGGTAACACACAAGTAAAAGAAAAACTCACGAGGCCAAAAATTACCGATAAAAAAGGGTAACAACCTTTTATATCTAAATGTTCGTTACATAAAAAATTATTCCTACTTCCCGATCCGTTTTGTGGACTGTGGCACCAAGTTTCTACCATACAACTTAAAGACTTCGAGTTGCCTACTCTCTAGAAATTTGCATGTCGGGGTGTGGTTTGGTTTCGACACTGGGCGCTGATCTCTACCAGTCGTTCACGGCTGATTCTTCTCGCCGTCAGTGCGCGAATTGACTTCTTCTCTTCGGCTTGAGTTGGAGCTTATTCACTTCGGCTTGAGTTCTTATTCTTCGGCTTGAGTTGGACGAGCTTATTCACTTCGGCTTGGTTGGACGGGCTTATTCACTTCGGCTTGAGTTTGATTTCAACTTCATCTAAGCGCAACTGCAAGTAACTTCTTCTTCGTCCGCCCTGCAACTCTTCTCGTCAAGGTCCGAACTCTTCTCTCCGCCGTCCGGGGCTGAACTCTTCTCTCTGTCGTCCGGGGCTGAACTCTTTCTTTGTCGTCGGGGCTGAACTTTAACTTCTCTTCGACTTTCGGGCTGCAGCTCCAACTCTTCTCGTCAAGGTCCGAACAGTTCTCTCTGCCGTCCGGGGCTGAACTGAACTCTTTGTCGTCCGGGGCTGAACTTTAACTTCTCATCGACTTTCGGGCAATCTTCTTCACTTCGACTTGGGCTGGACGAATTTCTTCACTCCGGGTTCTCTTGCCCGCAAAGGGGCGAATGAACCGGGCCCGACGCCCGCGTTCAAGCTCCCTCGCTGTCCGCGGTCCAGCTGCAACTGATTTCTGTCAATTGGGGTCCTGCTTTTATTGACGCCGTAACAAACTGGGGTGGGTCTGTCGGCGCCAGGGTTTTCTTGATAATTCCAAAAGTCGCATTATTTCTGATTTCCCATTATCGCTCTTAATTTCACTCCTACTTCCTCACAGTGCCTCTGGGGGGGGGGCGCATACCCGTTTCCCCTGGTCTCTCGTATGTCAGGTGACCGCTTTCGACCAATGGGGTCCTGGTCGAGCGTCCTTCCTCTTTCCTCGCACAACACGTGACCGCTCTCGGCTAATGAGATTCTGGTCGGGCGTCTCTCCCTCCTTCGTGACGTCTCCAATCGGGCGTGGTCAATCCGGGGCTTTGTTCTGGGAAGAAACACCTTGTTAAAAAAAAACAAAATTTAAATTGTCCTTTTTTCGTATACGTGGTATTTGTCAAAATAGCCCGCCGCTAATTAGATGTGACTTCAGGAAGAATTTTTCTCGTCCTGCCGGCGCCCTCTGTGAGCTAAAACAATTGCTTTCACCTCTTTTTTTTTCGCTCAGGCCTGTTAGCAAAATCTTAATTATCTGAATTGAAAATATCTTCACTCATCATCGTGGGTGGTTCTTATCTTCAACTCTAGAGCTGGTCAGGATTTGTATACTAATTGTTTTTTGTTTTCGTATACAATTCCAGCGGTCACTTATCAACTCAATGACACCCTTTTCGTTTGTCACTTATTAATATTTCTTTTTTCCATTGTTCTTAAAATCTTTATTGCTTCAGCCAACTTTAACAAACTTCCATCCTACGCGGACACGGAATTAGTTCAAGTGCCTGATCTGATAATTTTGTGCCGGTCGAACGTGTGTGTTTTCGCTTACGAACTTGTTTCGTATTATGTTTCTGTCTTTCCTCTTCTTTTCTTTTTTTTCTTTTTTTTATTTTATTATCTCTAAACTCTATTTCTTTAACAAAATATAACAATTTCTATTTCCTGGATTTCGGTCAGGTACTTTGACCTGGATATCTTTTTGACACCTGTTTTGCTTATGACCGGATTTTTATTATCTATTCCTCTTTCTCTTTTTTTTTTTATTTTTTTTTTTTTTTTTTTTTCTTCCTCTTTCTTTCGGATCGCCTAAATACAATTAGAGAATTATTCTCAAAACTCAATTATTCTTCGTCTCTAAATAACTAACAACTGGTTAATAAACCGAATAAAAATTAAATCATATTTCTATGAATAACACTCTTCAGTTTTCTAATAATGCAGGGTGCCACAGGCCCTAACTTGAATCCTATTGAAAATCTA